GGAAGCCACACCCAAAAGAGGTCATGCCCACTTCTGCAGAGGCCATGCCCCCGGGCCACAATGTGGGTAGTGTCAGGTGTGGGGGAAATGGAGCCCCCCCACTCTGGTTCGCTGACCTGGCTTAACCACTTAATCTCTTAACTTCCCGTTAGTCGTCGATTTGCTCGAGCGGGCGCCAGTAACATCTCCATTTGTCCCTGTTGCGTGCAAGTGTAGCCCAATGGCATCTGTTCGCTCCGGGAACATGAAGGGCCTCAAACCGATCATTCATCATCTTGACGAAGAAGTCTGACCATCTGGTAGGTGGGCGGCCATGCGGTCTTTTGACATCCCGTGGAATCCAGTCGGTAACAGCTCTAGTCCAGCGGTCGTCTTTAAATCTCATTACGTGACCAGCCCATCTGATTTTCGACACCTTGGCAAATGAGACAGCGTCCGTGATTCTTGATCATCGACAGATGTCAGAACTCCGGATTCGTTCTCTCATTTGAGTGAAACGTGATATTCCAAGCATAGCTCTTTCTATTCTTCTTTGGGAGATCTGAATAGCGTTCTCATCTTGTTTGCGTAGGGCTCAGGTCTCTGAGGCATATGTCAATGCAGGAAGAACAGTGGAATCAAAGAGATGTGCCCGGAGCCGGAGGTTCTTCATCCTCTTAGCTATTTCTTCGACGTTCCTGAAGGCTTTCCAAGCCGCTCTCTTCCTCCTGCGCAGCTCGGGTGCCAGGTCATTTGTCATGGTGACCTCTCGACCTAGGTACACATAGCTGTTGTATTCAGAGATGGTCATTCCGTTGAGAGCGAATGGGGCGTCAAGAACGAGGCTGTTTCTCATAAACATTGTCTTCGTAAGATTCAGCTATAGTCCGACCTTTCCACACTCACGGTCAAAGTCGGCCAGCATTTGTGCCGCTTGGCTGATGTTTGGTGTTATTAAAACAATGTTATCAGCAAAGCGGAGGTGGTGTAATTGCCGAACATCTATCTTCACTCCCATTCCTTCCCATTCCAGTCGTCGCATGATGTTCTCGAGGGTGGCACTGAAGAGTTTCGGTGAAATGATATCACCCTGCCGCACCCCTCTCTTGACATCAACGATCACTTCTTTGTAGAATGGTGAGATCCTGGTAGTGAATCTGTAATACAGCTCACAGAGAATCCTGATGTATTGGGCTCGAATGCCCTGATTGGCTAGGGCTTCAATGACCGCTTCCATCTCAACAGAATCAAAGGCCTTCTTTAAATCAATGGACGTTAAACAGAGTGGCATCTTGAACTCCTGAGAAACCTCAATGAGCTTGGTTATCATGTGGATATGGTCGATGGTGCTGAATCCTTTGCGGAACCCTGCTTGCTCGCATGGTTGTCCTTCATCTAGTGTTCTGCCAATCCTATTTAGGATGATTCGAGTGAACAACTTGTAGATGACAGACAATAGGCAGATCGGGCGCTAGTTGCCAATGTCATGGATGTCTCTCTTCTTGAACAGTAGTACGGTCCTGCTGGTTTTCCATTGGGACGGAACCTTGCATTCAGACAGGTAGCAAGTGAAGAGCTGAGCTAGTGTATTGATGAGTACTGACGGCAGGTTTTTCAGGTGTTCAGGTCTGACCTTGTCTGGGCCGGGTGCTGTTTGTTTCTTTACCTACAAAATGGCGTGTCGGATTTCGGAGGGGAGAACGTTGGGAAGGACATATCCATCCTGTGGAATTTGGTATGTCGGCAAGTGGACATGACTGTCGAAGAGATTTGAGTAGAAGTCATGGATAATCTTCTCCATTGCCGTTCTGGAGGATGTGATGGATCCATCAGGACGTCGGAGGGCAGGCATGTTGGTCTTGTAGTTGGCGAAGGACAGGCGGGTGTTACGAATACTTTTCCCAGCTTCTGCCGCATCTACCAGTACTTCTGCTCTTCTCTCTTTGAGGTCTTCCTTGATCACATCTCTGCACTGCTTTGCTAGCTCGGACGTTAGCTTGCGGTTGCCTGAGGCATGCACCAAACCACGCTGGCGAATTAGCTCAAGAGTTTTCGAAGATAGGCAATTTTTTGTGGCTATCTCTCTCTTGGCGTTCCTCGCACATTCATGGAGGTGCTGAACCAGTCGATCGTATTCCTCGTCAATGTTGTCAACAATGGCATCTTCCCATGTTGCCGCAATAGTACCAAAGAGTTCCCAGTTGGTGGTCATTCTGGGAGTTCTCTTTTTGAACTTTGCAGCCCTTTCTCCCCACTCTGTGAAGTAGAATTTTGCACGAAGGAGACGATGGTCCGATCCTGTTTGAAATTTTGGGACAACAACGACATCGGTCAGGCAAAACCGTCGATTGAATATGATGTGGTCTATTTCGTTGTGGAATCGTCCACCGGGAGACTCCCATGTCCATCGTTTAGATTCTGCCTTCTGGAACTGTGAGTTACCATGAATGGTCTTGGTCGACATGATGAACTCAGACAGTCTCTCACCCTGTTCGTTCCATTCTAGGCCATGGGTCCCGATGTGAAGTTCTTCAGCTGATCTTCTCGGTCCTATCTTGGCATTAAAATCACCCACAATGATCTTGTAGAAGGTGTGGTCTTCTTTATAGAACTTCTCTAGCTCCATGTAGAACTTCTCGATTTCTCTTTCATCATAATGAGATGTTGGTGCGTAGACAACGAAGATAGAAACTGCAGGCAGTGAGCCACATCTTTTCAAATGTAAATGTCTGATTCGGGTTGTTAGGCATTCGAATGAATCAATGCTCTTGGCCAAGTTTGTGTTGACAAGGACACTGACGCCTCCAACACCTCTTTTATCGCATGTTCCGAGGAACAATTCTTCTCCAGTGTCGAAAACGGCATGGTGAGATTCGTGCCTTCTTGTCTCGGTCAGGCCCATGATGTCATACTTGATCATTCGCGCTTGTACCATCAGGTCCTCGATGGATGCATCTGATGCTAGCATACGTGCATTGAAAGTACAGACGATCATTTTTGTCTTCCTTCGTTGTGGCAGCCTAGGTCGGCCTTGAGATTTTGTCGGCCTCTCCTTTCTCATCCTTCTCAGTGCTGCCATGTCGGTGAAGCCTTCAGGGTCAGGTGAATGAGTCCAATTGTAGTTAATGGTTTTGGCATATCGAATACACAACGGATAGCTTGCCAGGCTCTTCCATGTGGGCGGAATACTCTCGGTAGTTTGCCAGTCTTTCCGAGAGGGATAGAGGCTTTTGGGGCGACCTCTAATCACCCTTGTAGGTGTTACCATATTTGAACCCTATCAAATATGGTACGACAATTCCGGAAGATGGGTATTTAGTGTCTTATGATGTGTCGCGCGGCTGCTTCGCCGGAAAGCGTCCTGAAGTGTGGCGACGGCTGGGTAGTGGAAGTAGTGTCTGCTGACCTGGCAGAGGGAGTAAACCAGGCACGGTGCTGGAGGGTGGTATAGGGGCAGACAGGGTGGTGCTCCAGAAGGTTGGGTTGCTCAGGGTCCGAGGGGACACCTGGGGTGTAGGCGCTGGGGAAATGGCGGCCCTGGTCTTATTCACTGGCCTGGGGGAGAGAGCAAACTGGTGGCAGCACTGGAGCATGGCACAGCATCTTTAGTTTTTTAAGGATATGTTCAGAACATTACTGAGACCAAAATATTAGCCATTATCCTTTTTTAATTTTAATTTTATAAAGTGGTTTACAATATTTGATTACATTTATTATTTGAACACCAATCCCACCAACATTACACCTTCCCACTACCATTTGGATGTTTCCATCCCGAACCCCAATCTCTGCCCCAAAACTAAACCAAAATATTTGTTTTGTATTGATTGTTATGAATAAACCGTTGAAAATGCTCCGAAACACTTTCCTTATAGGAGAGTGTGTGAAGATTGTTTAATTACACCCACGGGCTATTTAGACCTCCTATAAGAGATTATTAATATGTTGTGAAGGGTCGAGACTTGAGTGCCTATATATATGTGTATATATATATATATATATATATGTAAAAATGGAGCGATAGCACAGCGGTAGGGCGTTCGCCTTACAAGCGGCCAACGTGGCCGACCCGAGTTCGATTCCTCCGCCCCTCTCGGAGAGCCCGGCAAGCTACCGAGAGTATTCCATATGCCAGACACAGTAACAACAAAGTCTCCAATGGAGACGTTACTGGGCCCGCTCGAGCAAATCGACGATCAACGGGAGGGCCTTTACCTTTACCTTTACCTATGTAAAAATGTATTTCCTTCTAAGATTGCCTTATACTTTAAATCCCATCAAATATGGTGTGAGATATGAGGTGTCCGATAAAAATACCAAGGGAGTCTCAGCCCAAGAGTGGAGAGCTACTATGAGCATCATGGCGAGTGAATTGTGGAGGTTTGGGGCTACGGTGGCTGGGTCTCTTGGGGAGTTAAGGGGCATCACCTGCCCCCGTCTGGGGTGCTCCAAATAGTACAGCCTGGTGTGGGATCTGGTAGCATGGCTATGGCAAGTCATTTTATGCTCTCTTCCAAGAGAGAAGGACAATGAGTCTCAGGATCAAGGCCATTGATGAGATTATCTGGTGTCAGCCAGAAATGGCCTGTGGTCATGACTGCCAAGTTGCTGGAAACAGGGGTACTTGGGGAAAGTTCACTCATTCCCAGTTCCATTGAATATGGAGTTTTCAGTCACAAATCCCGCATACCCGAGTTTTCTGTGAATTCACTCATATTACCCATTATCCTTAACTCAAAGGAATACAGTTATCCGAGATCCATTGCATAAAGCAGATATTAATACCACACACGAAAGGTTAGACTTAATGGTTCTTTGTTAATTGTTAGGTAGTGGGTTTCCTGCCATCCTGTGACAAAATTTGACATTGCATCTAAGACTGAAGTATTTCCTGATGTATTGTTAGAAAAGACCATCAAGATGAAAATGTTGGGAATTAGGTCTTTTTCTATAATGAAACCTCAAATTCATTCTTCAGCTGGATCTTTCTTTTCTAGACATTTATATTATTTGCCTTACAGGACAAGCCAATCAAGATCCAGTCAAGGTCGCTGAAGACATCATTAATGCCATTGAAGACTATATTGAGAAAGGGTCTGTCCAGTCTGTGAAAAGAGTTAAAGTTGTTCTATTTCAGCCCCATTTTCTGAAAATATTTTATGATGCCATGAAAAAAAGAGAAGGAGCTCAGTCTTCTGCATTGAAGTTTGTAATGTCTAAAGTTTCATGTGAGTTCTTCTTTATTATGAAGTGCATATTTTAACAGTGATGTCACATAAAAATAGGTCATCTTTCCAAAATAGCTGAGAGATTTCCAAAATATCAGATAATTCCAAAATATTAGATACTCCCAAGATATCAGATTGTTAAAAAAAAGTCAATGTCATTAACAATTACATGAAATAAAACAATATAAAAAAGAATAAATATAACCCAGGAGGCAAAAATCCTATCTATGTACCAGAAAGTATGAGACATTTATGAAAGAAATAAGAGGAAAAAAAGGAAACTGTTATTAATGTCTCAGGAATTTTGATAATAAATGTTGTTAAAATGTCCACATAAATTAGTCTATAGGTCCAGTGTGATTTCTATAAAAATTTACTGATTTTTTTCACAGAAATTGAAATTGCTCTAAAATTTGAGTGGGACTTTGTTTTTTAACATTTTACTCATTTTAATAGTTTCTACTAATTTAATTTTTTCCTTACTTAAAAAAATTACACATGTAAATAAACTGCACAAAGAGATCAAAGGAAGCCATGAGAAAAAGTATGTTTTTAGACTGTGAATGGTGGGGTTGCCATCCACTACCAAAATTATGCTTACTTTTAGTAAGCATTTATTTATTTTATTGAATCACCATGAAATACAGTTACAAAGCTTCCATGCTTGAGTTTAAGTCATACAATGATAGAACACCCATCCCTCCACCAGTGTACATTTTCTACCATTAATGTCCCCAGTAATGCCCCCCTCCCCATGCCACCCATTCCCCTGCCTCTGTGACAGACAATTTCCTCCTTACTCTCTCTACTTTTGGGCATTATGGTTTGCAATACAGATACTGAGAGGTTATCATGTTTGGTCCTTTGTCTACTTTCAGCACACATCCCCCATCCTGAGGGATCTCTCCAACCATCATTGACTTAGTGATTCCTTCTCTATTCCAGCTGCCTTCTCCCCCAGATCATGACACAGGCTTCCAGCTATGGAGCATCTTCCTGGCCCTTGTCTCTATGGTCCTTTGGTGTTAGTCTCATATTATATTATTTTATATTCTACAAATGAGTGCAGTCCTTCTATGTCTTTCCCTCTCTTTCTGACTCATTTCATTTAGCATGATATTCTCCATGTCCATTGAGTGGAACTTTTAAAGATTCTAAAAAGCCAAAAAATTTTTTAGATAGAATAAAAATCTTAAGCCTTATGATTCATGATTTTACTCTATATTATAATATTATATTGATAAAAGATATGGTGTTTGCATAAATGTATAAATACATAAATGTGTAACCTGAATGTAAGACTAGAAACAATAAAAGTACCAAAAGAAAATACAAAAAATAAGTCTTAAACATTGGACTTGGCAACTGTGTTGGACACCAAAATCAAAGACCACAAAAGCAAAAATAATCAAATGGGACTACCACAAACTAAAGGCATTCCTCACTGCAAAGAAACCATTACCAGAATGAAAAGGCAACCCCCAAAATGGGAGAATATATTTTCAAGTCATAGATATTATAGCACAGCAGTAGGGCATTTGCCTTGCACGCAGCCAGCCCAGCCGAGCCGGGTTCGATACCTCCGCCCCTCTCGGGGAGCCCGGCAAACTACGGAGAGCATCTTGCCTGCACGGCAAAGCCTGGCAAGCTACCCATGACGTATTCAATATGCCAAGCATAGTAACAACAAGTCTCAAAAATATGGAGACATCACTGGGCCCGCTTGAGCAAATCGATGAACAACAGGAGGACCGTGTTTGTTTGTTTTAGATATTATAAAATTTATTATTGAAAATAGAGTACTGACGCAATTTAGTAAAAAACAATCTGATAGAAAAATGGCCTAAATTTAAATAAAAATTTTCCTAAAGAAGGCATTTAGCTGCTACCTGGAAGGGTGTTCAACATCACAAATCAGATATCTGTTATAACCAAAGTCACAGTCCTTTAGATCACAGTATAATGACTGTTGAGCTAATTTAGAAACAACAGGTGTTGCTGGGATTGTGAAGAAAAGATACTTTGTGCATGTGTAGTGGGAATTTTAATTGTTGAAATAACTATAGAAAATAGTAAGGAAAGGACTTAAAAATAAGTGTGATCATGCAGTTTTATTTGTACTCGTTTATTGAGTTATAGAGTTTATTTTGTGCATGTGTATGTGTGTGTGCGTGTGCGTGTGCATGCGTACGTGCATGTGTGTGTGTATGCTTAGTCTATTACTCAGCTATATAAAGGGATTCCTATGGCCCAAGATGTGGCTCAGTTGTAGAATGCTTGTCTTGCATGCTTGAGTGCAGGAGTTCAATCTCCAGCAGTGCGTTGTCATCCTTAGTGCCATGAAAAGTGTAATCACAACAACAAAGGGAAGGGCAGGAGAGGAATTATTACTGGGTTTTTTTAATAATATGGAACAGATTTAAGACATTACACTAATGTAAATAAGCCTAATGGAGGACAAACACTGTGTTTCACTTATATGTCCAATCTAAAAAAAAAAACGAAACTGAACTTACAGATACAGAGAACAGATTGGTGGTTGCCAGAGGAGGTGGGTGGAGGATAGGCAAAATGATGTAAAGGGATTGAAGGTACAAACTTCATTAACAAATTAAATAAGCAAATGGGGTATACAACTTGATGAGAAAAAGAGGGCATAGATAATACTCCTTCCTTTTATTTTTAGCATTTTTCAGTTTTTTCACACCATTTTCAAAAACAAAGAACTCATTGGTTTTGGAGAAAAAAACAGAATTGGCAACTTTTCAAGTGTGTGGTGACAGTATAGAACATGTAAACAATGCATTCGACTGGACACAGGATCTGATTTTAAAGGATCAGTTTTCTTCCATTATTAAGGATGAGTGTATCCAAGACTTTGATGAAATGGAAGTTCAGGAATTGAGAGCACTACAGGATAAATTAAATGTTTCCATTTCTTTGGACCAGAAAAACCCCTTGATTGAAATCGGGGGAATTGCCAAAGATGTGATGGAAGTTAGAAATAATATTGAGGAAATGATCAAGAGAATTAGATTGAACAAAGAACAGGAATACCGAGCAAACTGTATCAGTGAATTTGTTGAATGGCGATATAAAGACAGCAACACTTTTTACCGTTTTGACAAAATGACCAGTCTACATTTGGAGGAGGCAAATAAAGAAGGGGAAAGGACAACTGATGTCAAGATTAAATATGAAACCTACACAGTAGACTTCACCACAAATACCGCCACAAACTCAGATGGAGTCACTTTGCCTGTTCAACGCTTCCAGAAAGCTGGAGGTGAGTCAAATTTTCATGCCTGTTGTTCATGATTTTAAAACAACTTTGGTCTTAACACTATTATGTACATACACCAAAATAGTATTTGAGTAGATGGATTCAAGTAACTTTCATGTTATCAAATAAAAAACTTAGTCTGAGCTTCTTGAACAGTAGTATGGTCCTGCTGGTTTTCCATTGGGACGGAACCTTGCATTCAGACAGGTAGCGAGTGAAGATCCGAGCCAGTGTATTGATGAGTACTGACGGCAGGTTCTTCAGGTGTTCAGATCTGACCTTGTCTGGACCGGGTGCTGTTTGTTTCTTTACCGACAAAATGGCATGTCGGATTTCGGAAGGGAGAACGTTGGGAACGACATATCCATCCTGTGGAATTTGGTATGTCGGCAAGTGGACATGGCTATCGAAGAGATTTGAGTAGAAGTCATGGATAATCTTCTCCATTGCCGTTCTGGAGGATGTGATGGATCCATCAGGACGTCGGAGGGCAGTCATCTTGGTCTTATAGTTGGCGAAGGACAGGCAGGCGTTACGAATACATTTCCCGGCTTCTGCCACATCTACCAGTACTTCTGCTCTTCTCTCTTTGAGGTCTTCCTTGATCGCATCTCTGCACTGCTTTGTGAGCTCGGATGTTAGCTTGCGGTTGCCTGAGGCATGCGCCAAACCACGCTGGCGAATTAGCTCAAGAGTTTTCGAAGATAGGCGATTTTTTGTGGCTATCTCTCTCTTGGCGTTCCTCGCACATTCATGGAGGTGCTGAACCAGTCGATCGTATTCCTCGTCAATGTTGTCAACAATGGCATCTTCCCATGTTGCCGCAATAGTACCAAAGAGTTCCCAGTTGGTGGTCATTCTGGGAGTTCTCTTTTTGAACTTTGCAGCCCTTTCTCCCCGCTCTGTGAAGTAGAATTTTGCACGAAGGAGACGGTGGTCCGATCCCGTTCGAAATTTTGGGACAACAGCGACATCAGTCAGGCAAAACCGTCGATTGAATATGATGTGGTCTATTTCGTTGTGGAATCGTCCACCGGGAGACTCCCATGTCCATCGTTTAGATTCTGTCTTCTGGAACTGTGAGTTACCGTGAATGGTCTTGGTCGACATGATGAACTCAGACAGTCTCTCACCCTGTTCATTCCATTCTAGGCCATGGGTCCCGATGTGAAGTTCTTCAGCTGATCTTCTCGGTCCTATCTTGGCATTAAAAGACATCCATGACATTGGCAACTATCGCCCGATCTGCCTATTGTCTGTCATCTACAAGTTGTTCACTCGAGTCATCCTAAATAGGATTGACAGAACACTAGATGAAGGACAACCATGCAGAGCAAGCAGGGTTCTGCAAAGGATTCAGCACCATCGACCATATCCACACGATAACCAAGCTCATTGAGGTTTCTCGGGAGTTCAAGATGCCGCTCTGTTTAACATCCATTGATTTAAAGAAGGCCTTTGATTCTGTTGAGACGGAAGCGGTCATTGAAGCCCTAGCCAATCAGGACATTCAAGCCCAATACATCAGGATCCTCCGTGAGCTGTATTGCGGATTCACTACCAGGATCTCACCATTCTACAAAGAAGTGATTGTTGATGTCAAGAGAGGGGTGCGGCAGGGTGATACCATTTCACCGAAACTCTTCAGTGCCACCCTCGAGAACATCATGCGACGACTGGAATGGGAAGGAATGGGAGTGAAGATAGATGGTCGGCAACTACACCACCTCTGCTTTGCTGATGACATTGTTTTAATAACACCAAACATCAGCCAAGCGGCACAAATGCTGGCCGACTTTGACCGTGAGTGTGGAAAGGTAGGACTACAGGTGAATCTTACGAAGACAATGTTTATGAGAAACAGCCTTGTTTCTGATGCCCCATTTGCTCTCAACGGAACGACCACCTCCGAATGCAACAGCTATGTGTACCTAGGTCGAGAGGTCACCATGACAAATGACCTGGCACCCGAGCTGCGCAGGAGGAAGAGAGCGGCTTGGAACGCCTTCAAGAACGTCGAAGAAATAGCTAAGAGGACGAAGAACCTCCGGCTCTGGGCACATCTCTTTGATTCCACTGTTCTTCCTGAATTAACATATGCCTCAGAGACCTGGGCCCTACGCAAACAAGATGAGAACGCTATTCACGTCTCCCAAAGAAGAATAGAAAGAGCTATGCTTAGAATATCACGTTTCACTCAAATGAGAGAACGAATCCGGAGTTCTGACATCTGTCGACGATCAAGGATCAGGGATGCTGTCTCATTTGCCAAGGTGTCGAAAATCAGATGGGCTGGTCACGTAATGAGATTTAAAGATGACCGTTGGACTAGAGCTGTTACTGACTGGATTCCACGGGATGTCAAAAGACCGCGTGGCCGCCCACCTACCAGATGGTCAGACTTCTTCGTCAAGATCATGAACGATCGGTTTGAGGCCCTTCATGTTCCTGGAGCGAACAGATGCCATTGGGCTACACTAGCACGCGACAGGGACAAATGGAGACGTTACTGGCGCCCGCTCAAGCAAATCGACGACTAACGGGAAGTTAAGTGATTAAGTGATTAAGTCTGAGCTTAAGGATATCCTATTATGTATGGTAAAATATGGTGTTACTACTCACCAGCCTCAAGATGACCAAGGTAATGTAACTACAGCCAGATCTTGCATCTGTATTTTTTTTTTATTGAATCACTGTGGGAAAAGTTACAAATCTTTCAGGTTTAAGTCTCAGTCATGCAATCACCAAACACATTTCCCTTCACCAGTACTTATTTTTCACCACCAAGAACCCCAATATACCCCCCTCCAACCCCTCCCAATGCCAAGAACCCCAATATACCCCCCTCCCACCCCTCCCAATGCCTGTGAGGCAGATGAATTCTAGTTAACACGTTAACACTCTATCAACTTTGATTAGATTCATTGTTTCGACAAAAGATGCACCATTATTATTTAGAATTTACAACCCAAAATCAGACCTGCTGAAAAGGTATTGTGAAATAATTTGTTTTCTACAGTTGGTTATAAGAACCAAATGATGTCCCATGGCCGAGATAGTGGCTTCGTGATTTTGGATTTCTGATATTTTACTTATTAAGCCTGGAAGCATTTCAGCCGAGAGTCAGATAATTATAAGATTGGTTTCTGTGGCTCTGGAGCCATGGTCGTGCCAGAGAGTCACTCTTGGGGGGCAACCCGTGACCTTAGTATGGCTTGAAGGATGAGCCGGGACACCCCCCTTCCCATGACGTTTCGGTTGCCTCGTCACCACCGGCTCATACCTGGCTTTGAAAATAGCTCCAAGGCGGCCGCCATCTTGCTGTCTAGGGGGGAAAAAGGCGGAAGGGAGCAACACCTTTTCCCTTCCGGGCAGGCACGGTGCTGTAGATTAAAGCATAGTCCATTCACTTTTCTGTTGCAAGCTGCCGGGTTCTGCATTAAGTTCTTGTGCTTCTGGAGCCATGCCCGTGCCAGAGAGCTGCTTGTGGGGGGCAATCCGTGACCTTGGTAGGGTGTGAAGGATGAGCCAGGAACGCCCCCCTTCCCATGAGGTTTCAGTTGCCCTGTCACCAGCTCATACCTGGCTTTGAAAAAAGCTCCGAGGCAGCCGCCATTTTGCTACCCGGGGGGAAAAAGGCTACCTTGCATCTGTTTCCATCCCTCCAGCTCTCCAGTTTCTCAGAGACAATTCTGCTGGGGTGGGAGTGGCTGAATCAATCAGGAGATGGAAAGCTTTGGGCTTCCAAGGAAAGTAAACCCAGGTTTTCTAGAACAGAAGAGAGAAGACAGCATGGCCAGAGTGGACACTCTCTGCAGGTGTCTGGATGACACCCTGGAAGGACCAGCAACCTGGGCTGTCCCAGATATCACTTCTGGGGCTGAAGAGATAGTATAGCCAGTAGAGCATGGACTTGCATGGAGCCGACCCCCGTTCAATCTTAGGCATTCCTTATAGTCCCCCAAGCCCCATCAGGAGTGATCCCACAGCACAGAGCCAGGAATAGCCACTGAGCATTGCTGGGTGTGAATCTCCCCATCCCCCCACCCCCCAAAAACTAAAATCACTTCCTCTTCTGTCCTGAGGGAGTTTTTCCCGAGGCACTCACCAGGAAGCAGCAAACAAATTCTTTGAGTGGTTCAGCTCCCTGAGAAGGGAATTTATCTTGCACAGATGCCGTTTCTGCTCTGAACCACATACATACCGCATACTTGATTTCTCGTTCAGTATCTTCTACACTTATGAGATCAGTGTGAATTAATGACAATCCTTGGTGAAATGACACATCCAGTGTGATATCTGGTTACAAGAAGGGAAGATAGATACCAATACATCCTATCACAGAACAAAACCTGCTACCCACTCAACTCTTAAGGACAAGGTGGAAAGAAATAAAAGAGTAGATGTAGCAGGGTTGAGAGTGGAGAAGCATACTGGCAAAAGTCTGCACATTTGAAATTAGGCACTAGACATTATTTAAAACATTGTAAAGAAATCATTCATTGTCATATTACTAAATGGCATGTTATTAAATGACAATAGAGACTAAACAGAATGTGCATAAACTAATCTATATCAACAGTCTGACAACAGTCTAAGCATTACCAAAACTTAAGATGCAGATGCAGAGGCTTCACCTCTAAGATATCTTGATCCAGTTTTAAAACAAGCACTAAGTTTGTCATGTAAACTTTCTGTTCTCCACAGTTATAAAACACACTTCCTTAGAAATATAATGAACTTCTCAAAGTCATTCAATAAGAATTTATAAAGCAAGAGCATAGTATTACCTTGTTTTGCTGAGGAATGTGGAGAGTGTGATTGAGTTTCCCAAGTGTGAGGGAGTCTTCAAATTTCTACTTTACAGATGAAATCCCTTCAAACTGGAGTGATATGAAGCAGCAGAATGTCTGTGTGGTTGACCTACCACCTAGTCATGCAGAATACAGAGCAGTTGCACAGCAGTTTAATCAGACCTGCTCAAACTTCGTCATAGAGAAGGTAAGCCTTCTGCTAATGTGGAGTTTCTTGATGACAGGAATAGTCCCATCATAGTTCTGGATAAATATATTTTCATTAGCTTCCTATTATACCTAGAATATTTCTTATAAACAAATTACTGATTCACTATTGATTTACAATAAAACAACTTTTGGGGAGAACTGCTTTACGTCCAATCCAGCGCCAATTTCTAGCACCAGATCGCAATCAGAATGACCCCTTTCACCCAGTACTCTCACTTCCCTTACCCTTTTGCTCTGGCAATTAGCTATTTTTATCAGCGCCTGAGATTTGTTTTTGTAGTGTTTTGTCAGTTTATCTTTTTAATTTTTAATTTTATTTTCATAAAATTGTTCACAGTAATTGTTTCCATTCAACATTTCAACACCACTCCCGCCATTATACCTTCCCACCACCATTATTTCAAATTTTCCCAACGCTACCTGAGTCATCCCCATAGGCAGATGCTAAATAATTTATTTTGTATTGCTAGTTATGAATAGCATGAGATGTTCCACAGCCACAAAAGCGGCTGATCACTCCAGGAATTCTAAAATTTTTTAAATATTTGGAGTTCAGAGGCATCTCTGTGGTGTGCTTCTCTCTTCTGAGATTCATTTGTGAGTATCTGAATCATGGCTATTAATGTGCTTAAATGGCGCCCACAGGCAAGTTGGGTGTGACTTCCAGGAAGCAAAAGAGCAGGGAGATGGGGGGAGGTTGCCTGGAGGTTTCAGTCATTAGTCCCATATAACTGGGTTTTTCAGGTTCATTCTCATGCCTGGGGGCTCAGGAACAACCCTGTGAAGGTCAGCAATGAGTGTGGTGGTGATTTGGTTCTGGGGATTTGCAGCTGCCAGAGTTCATTTGGGGCAGGTAGAGGGATACATCTGCCCCCTTCAAGGTGCCCAGGTGAAACCAGCATGGCGCAGGGTGGAGAAAACATCTCTCAGGGCTCTGTTCTTTTGAGATTCATTTGTAAATCTCTGAATCATGGCTGTTAATGCGCTTAAATTGCCTGATTTTGATCTCTTTTGAGATTTAATTATGGGTCTCTGAAGCAAGGCTAATAAATGATCATATATAGTTGAGCCAGAGGTTATTCATCGATTGCCTCGACGAATTCATCCTAGCCCTGAGATTATATTCAAGGCCTTATTCATCCTAGCCCTGAGATTATATTCAAGGCTCTTTAGGAGAATGAGACCCATCATTGTTACTGGTATTTGGCATATTGGGTACGCCACGGGGAGTTTGCCAGACTCTGCCCTGTGGGCAGGCTACATTCGATAGCCTGAAAGTTTGTCCAAAGTAGGAATGAGATAATAAGATGTCATAAAAAGATGTCCTGATACGGCCGCGCGGTTCCGGGAGCTGGATTTTATAGTCTCTGAGTCTTGGCCGCTGATGGGATTACACGGCGCCAGGGGGCCAGATGGTGGGTGTGACCCCCCACCTACTGGAATTTGGAGGATCTGGGTGGAGGATGCTCGACTCCAATCCGAGTAGGGTTGGAGGTCTCGGCCCCGGAACCCGCGTGGCTTTGTCCCTCTGCCAGTACGTTCAGGTGTGCGGAGAGTGGTCTCAGCATGGTGGTGGCTGGTCCTGGAGGTCTTCGGCTGCCGGAGCCCTGGTCGGGGCGGGGAGGAAAGCTCAACCCGCTCCCCTCCAAGGGACCCCGGCGAGGAACAGCCAGGCACAGGGGCAGGAGACTGGTTTGTGGATATAAGTCCCACATACTAAGTTTGGAGTATCAGGAAGCCTGAAGGCACCATCAGTCTGCTGATGCACTCACCCTGCAAGTACAGGTTAACCTGCTGGGTGGCACTAACACTTTAGTTAATATTTTTTATTATTGATATTCCACCTATGAATGTAACCATTCAGTAATAATTAGCTTTGATTTCTTGACTTACTTTTCTTAATAACTGTAGATCCCATCCTTGTGGCATAAAAGGCACAATTTAATCTTAGAGCTGTTTTTGTATCCTAATAAGTGTTTTTAAACATTTATTTTATGTCCATATCACCATGTCTGATTTCCCCTGATCACAGAGATACACAGGTTTGAGATATAAGTACTTAGGTGGGAATACTTTTAATGTAATTAGATTTAGATTTCCAGTCTAGAGGCATCTCATGTCACCATAATTAAATAATTACTAAAAATAAGGTTTTTTTCTTTTTTTAAATTGAATCACTGTGAGATACACAGTAACAAAATTGTTCATGATTGAGCTTTGGTCATACAATGTTCCAATATCCCTCCCTTCACCAGTGCACATTTCCTCCACCAATGTTTCCCATCTGCCACACCCATCCCCCTAGCCTGCCTCTATAGCAGGCACTTCTCTCTCTCTCTCTCTCTCTCTCTCTCTCTCTCTCTCTCTCTCTCTCTCCTTTTTGGTATTATGGTTTGCAATACCATGTATATCCCTTCACCTACTTTCAGCATTTTGTTCTTGTCCAGAGTGATCATTTCCAACAGTCAATGTCACAGTGGACCAATCTCTGTCCTAACTACTCAAATGCCCACACTTGTGGAAAACTTGCAAATGTGGACTAATCCTAATGGCCCTCATTTCTACTGTTCTTGGGTATTAGTCTCATATTATATTTTTTATATTCCACAAGTGAGTTTAATCATTCTATGTCTGTCCCTCTCCCTCAAACTCATTTCACTCAGCTTGATACTCTTCATGTCCATCCATTAATAAACAAATTTCATTTTTCCTAAAAGCTGCATAGTATTTCATTGTGAAGTTGTACCATAGTTTCTTTAACTGATCATCTGTTCTTGGGCACTCAGGTTGTTTCTAGATTCTGGTTATTGTTCATAGTGCTGCAATGAACTTAGAAGTGTAGGTGGCTTTTCTACAATGTGTTTTTGTACCCCCAGTGTATATTCCCAGGAGTGGTTTTCTGGGTCATATGGAATCTCAATTTCTAGTGTTTTGAGGAATGCCCATATTGTTTTCCAAAATGGCTGGACCAGTTGGCATTGCCACCAACAATAAATGAGAATCCCTTTCTCCCCACATCCTCACCAGCACTGGTTACTGTTGTTCTTTTTGACATGTGCCAGTCTTTGTGCTGTGAGATGATATCTCACTGTTGTCTTGACTCCTTGATGATTCATGATATAGAGCATTTTTTCATAGTCATTTTGACAATTCAAATTTCTTCTTTGAGGACATTTTTGTTCATTTCTTCTCCTCCCCATTTTTTTTTTGCTTTTTGGGTCACACCCAGCAATGCACAGGGGTTACTCCTGGCTCTGCACGCAGGAATTACTCCTGGCAGTGCTCAGGGGACCATATGTGATGCTGGGAATCAAACCCGGGTCAGCTGTGTGCAAGACGAACGCCCTACCTGCTGAACTATTGCTCCAGCCCCTCTTCTCCCCATTTTTTGATGGGGTTGGATTTTTTTTCTTGTAAAGTTCTACCCATGCTTTATAAATCCTTGATTTTGACCCCTTATTAGATGTGCAGTGAGTAAATAATTTCTCTCATTCCATGAGCTGTCTTTGTACCCTGATCACATGTCCTTTGAGGTGCAAAAGTTTCTTAGTTTAATGTAGTCCGAATTGTTTATCTTTGCTTCCACTAGTTTGGTCAGTGGTGTTTCATTTTTGAAGGTGCCCTTAGCTTCAATGTCATGAACAGTTCTGCTTATGTTTCCCTCTATGTACTTATGGATTCATGTCTGATATTGAGGTCTTTAATCCATTTTCTTCTGACTTAAGTGAATGGTGTTAGAAAGAGGCCTGAGTTCATTTCCTTCCTTCCTTCCTTCCTTCCTTCCTTCCTTCCTTCCTTCCTTCCTTCCTTCCTTCTTTCTTTCCTTCCTTTTTCTTTCTTTTCCCCCCTTTTGTTCCTGTAGTTGCCGAGTTTTCCCAGTACCACTTGTTAGAGGTACTTTTCTTACTCTACTTCATATTTATTGCTCCTTTATCAAAGATTAAATGATTATATACTTGATCCGATGTAACAGGATAATCAACTCCGTTCTATTGATCTGCATGACTTTATTCCAATACCATGCTGTTTTAATTACTACCACTTTGTAGTACAGTTTGAAGTTGGGGAAGGTGGTTCCCCCCCCCCCCCCCCATTATCTTTTTCCAAAGAGAAGTTTTAGCTATTCGCAGAGGTTTATTGTCCCATGTGAATTTTAGGGGTGTTTGATCTTTTTCTTTGAAAAAAGTCATGGATATCCTAATAGGGACTACATTGAATCAGTATAGTGCTTTGGGAACTATTTCTATCTTAGCCATAATCCTCCCAATTCATGAACAGGGAATGTGTTTTTATTTCCTCGTGTTCTGTTTTATTTCTTGAAGTAGTGTTTTGTAGTTTTTTTTGTATATGTCCTTCATCTTTTAGTTAAGCTGATCCAAGGTACTTGATTTTCTGAGGCACAGTTGTGAACAGGATTGCTTTTTAAACATCTCTTTCTTCTCTTTCATTATTTGTACAGAGGACAGCCAGAGACTTTCGCCTATTGATTTGTAACCTGCCACTTTACTATACAAATCTATTGTTTCTAGGATGTTCTATCTGGATGCCCTTTATATTTTTTCTTGACTAATTGCTATAGCAAGTACTTCCAGTACTATATTGAAAAGAAGTGGCAAGAGTGGGCAACCTTGTCTTGTCTCTGATCTTAGCTTTTTCTTTTCTCCATAGAGAAGTGCTTTCTGTGGGGTTGTGGTAGATGGCTTTGACTATATTGAAGAAAGTTTCTTCAACTTTCATTTTTTTGAGAGTTTTTTTCATGTTTTATAATTTTATTTATTGAATCACCATGAGAGCAGTTACAAAGTTTTCGGATCTAAGTCTCGGTCACACAATGAAACACCTGTACCTTCACCAGTGCCCATTCTCCATTACCAAAATCCCCAGTATCCCCCCATCCCACACCCTCCCCCTACCTGTGGGGCAGATGATTTCCACATTACTCTCTCTCTACTTTGAACACATTCAATATTTTGACAC